AACAATATTTTGGTATAAATAACTAAGTATAAACAAATATAGAATTGTACATAAAATGGATAACGAATAAGGAGACCATGAAAGCAAGATAGAAATGTATAGAAGGGAAAACACTAACTGTAAAGAAACTGATACAGAACTGCTGTATGATATATGATGGAACTTCTTGTTCCTATGTTGTTTTAAGTCATGTGTTTGTTTTTGTTGATGTGCTTATGTGTTTAAAATAAAATTTAAAAATGAAAATATCCACAGTACATGTTTGCCTAATGTGTGCATTAGAAAGACATTGGAGAATGAATTTTATCTTATTTGGGAAGCAGAAGGATTGAAAATTCATTTGAATTGTTTTGAGAAATGTTTTAGTTTCGAGATCGCCCATTATGTCCTAATCCTCTCTTTGCATCGTGTGTTTTTTTGCACAGGACAATAAAATACAGTTCTACTTGCAATCTAGATTACAATGATGCAATCCATATTTTCTAACTATGAATTTCTTAGCTTGTCCTCAAGAAAGAAGAGTGGAGAAGTGTCTCAGTGCACATCCAATATATGCAGGGTTGAAGATAAATTATAAGAAGATTGTTGATGAATCAAATATTTGTGCCTTTTTTGCTTTCCTGCAGGAGTGAAAGCAATTGGAAATGTCTCATGATTTAATTGAATTCTTTGATTTTTCACAAAGAATAAGTGATAGGAGTAACTCTTGCTGTTGTTGCTCTTGTAATTGTCTTTTGTTTCTACATTTCTATCATTGATCTATTTTTTCCTTAACACATATTTGCAAGTAGAAAACCTAGCATACTCAGGAAGACCCTGTGTTGATTGATTGTGCCTTGCTTATTGCATTGGGAAGGTTGAGTGGTTTTATAATTTTATTTACGCAAAACATTTTAGCTTATTTGTGGAACATTGTTTATATTGTTAGCTTAGGGCTCCATATGTTGTTAACGTATTTTGGTGCATCTGTAGATCAGTTGTAGCTTTTTAAGGCTAAGGAAGAAAACTGATGTTTTAAGGAAAATAGAATAGTTCAACAGTAACAAAATGATTTTATGGAAACTGATTTATTTAAAACCAGTTTCATTCTTGAAATACTTGTATGCTGAGGTTTCTTATTGTTATATTAAGGGGCTCTTTATGTATAATGTGTTTTGAATCAAAAGTCCCATCCTAGATAAAATTGTTACTAATTTTTTTCTGGGCTGCTTGTTCTAAGAAGGAAGGAGAGGGACATTGTGAAGTATTTGAAGAATTATCCATTCATTCATTCAATTTTTATAGCCACCCATGTCAACCAATGAGTCTGTGCATCTTATAATTCCAAAAGTATAAAAACATCCAAAATAATTGTTTGGCTGTTGTATGTATTTAATCAGTTAACAGTAAAGCCAAACGGGATATGTAGCACATTCTGAGCCCCTGGCTCAGGTATACAGCCAAGTTTTTTAAAGCCTTATGAAAGGCTAGCACAGTTGGGGCTAACTTCTGGGGGAGGGATATTCCACAGAGCAGGGATGACTGCAGAAAAGGCCTGTCTTCTAGTCCCCACCACTCAACATTCTTTGCAGAGTGCCCCAATCTGCTAGATTGGGTTGGACAGGTGGAGACCCTTGGAAAAAAGTCCCTCAGGTAACCCATTCCCAAGCCATATAGGGTTTTAAAAGTGACAACCAGCATCTTCAATTGCATCTGGAATCATACTGGTAGTCATTGCAGCTGACATATTCGTGGTGTTGCATCTTCTGTACATCTGACATCATTTATTGTCTGTGCAGCTCCATTCTGTCTGTTTCTGAATGCTCTTCAGGGGCAGCCCATGTAGAAAACATTGCATTAATCTAAACATGAGGGCATGAGTTGGGGTAAGCAGGGTTTTCTGGTCCAGGAGCGGGTGTAACTAGCATACCACCTGAAGGTGTGCAAAAGGCTATACTATCATCTGTCTGCGCTTCAAGGAGTCTAGGGGGACCCCGATTGCATATTGGGTGTGTCTCGGGTAATGCAACTCTTATCTAGAACTAAAAATGGAATAACCTTGTCTTAGGAAGTTTCCAATACCCACAGCCACTTAGTCTTCCTAGTGTTGCATTGGAACCCATTTCATCCCATCCTGTCTCCAGACACTGGAGTAGGGGCTTCTATAGTATTGGTGAGAGGGCCTTGGTTGTTATTCAGGAAATACAGAATAAGGGGGGGAATCGCTCGTGATCATTAAAGCCTATTGAAGAAATATTAGCCAGAGGGAGAAAAATTACCTTGAGATCATCTGTGAAGTTCTGTGTCAGTCACTGTTGCTTACGGACTTACATAAATTATATTACTTTATATTTCAATAGGAAAATGATTGCCAATAATTTTTAAGTGAATAGCAGCTGGTTACTGTGTAACTGGTTGATTTTCTGAATTGATTGGCAAACTTTCAAAATTCTTAGGCATGTGGGCATTGTGGGCAAATAGGCTATCGTGCCCTATATGCATTGTTTCTTAAAAAAGGATGGAAGTACTTTATTCCAGGATTTTAGTACAATTAATGAGATTGCAACATTTTTTTTTTAAAAAAAAGCCCAGATTTGAATTTCATTTATTTAACTATTGCTACAAGTCACAGAGCAGTAAAAATGGAGTCAGTCATTGTTCGTTTGTTTAATTAATTAATTTCTTCGCTACTCATCTCACCACAAAGTTATGATTGGATATTGCGAAAAAACCAAAATGTAATCATTTGAATGTCTTTCTTTTTTAAAAAAAAGGAAGGTGCAGAATAAAATATAAAACATTTAAATTATTTGAAATTGGACTTTCTTAAGCAAAAAGGAAATGACCTGTGTTTTAGAGATCTCTGCAACTAGATCTTGATTATATTATATCCTGACTTAGCTGAATTTCAAGAAAGCATTGAAATTAATGGCAAACTAGCTGGATGTGCCATATGTCAATGTAGAAACTAATCTGAACTCAGGCATTTATAATATATGTTTTCATCTATGTAGGTGCTAATCTAATGTGTCCAATTAATGCATAAACATTTGGGTCTTGGTTAGGAATACGCCATTGCAATCATTCTAGAATTACCTGAGTTTGATAATCTTTATGAAATATAGGGTTTAGTTTTTTATAATTCCTTTCTTGAAGAAGAAATTGTTCATTATTTTTCAGAATTTGCATTCCTGCTACCACGTTTTCCTTTTCTGTGTGTGTGTGTGTGTCTTACCAGGTTTCATTTTTACTCATTACTTCCAAGGTACAAAATCAATGCAACCTATTTCTTCTTTGTCCTTTAAAGTGCCTTGCCAACTTACTTATTTCAGACTCTGCCCTCTAGATATACAATAGCCTTTCTTAGTTAAGAATTCACCATAGCCTGGTCTTTACTTTGGGCTTACTATTATTTTTAAGATTATACTGGGACAAGTGAGGCAAGTCAGGGATATGGAACCAATAGTCATTTCCAAATTTGACATTTAAAACAGTGGCCTTTTGGGCACCGGGGACTGGTTGCATGGAGATAAGTTTTTCCACAAACCAGAGGGGTTTGCATGCTGCCTGCAGATGGGGCTTCACTTCACTTGTTTGCATGGACCAGTTTCTGGCATGCTTTGCACCAATGCTGGTCCATGAATAAGAACCCCTGATTTACAGTGTCAAAATCTAATATACCTTCCCAAGAAGGATACCCCACAATGTGTCGTAAATTTAATTTAAATAATTGCTGAAGATTCTGTAATTATTGTGTATGGTTTTTTTAAAGCATTTTTCCTCCCATAATTCAAATATATACTATTTTATATTGAGAGAAAGTTAGAATTTCATTGTTTATGAGATGCATATCAAAGCAACTATTTAATGTTTTTCAGGTTTAGAATAATTATAGCACATATACACTCATGAAGTCATCGGAGCTAGTACAGTTACTTTTGAGTTAATTCTCCTCTATTTCAAGTGGAGTTATTTTAGGGGCCCCAAAAAATGCCCAGCCCAGAAGATCTGAGAGCCAAACATCTATAGTAAACTTCCATAGCGGGCATTATTTATATTTATTGTAATTACTTCAGTAAAACATGAAAAAAGAAGCAGGAACGTGTCAAGAGCTCTGTTCTAGGAACCTGTTTAATTTTAATCATGCAGTCTGTTCCTATAGTTGGCCAACCAAATCCCTTGATATTTCTGATAGTATACAGAAAAATGCCATACTGTACTGTAAAAGTGTTGAGAGTCTTACATCCACAGTCTGTTTTATGAAACTTCCCTGTTTCCAGTCTGATTTTCCACTATTCCTTTTCCTTACTTTTTCTTCATTCGTTTTCTCTGCCATCCTGAATTTTAGCTGTCTAGCTCAATAGAAACCCACAATAACCAGGGGTCCCTTTTAATCCGTTCCTTGGAAGTGACTTTTCTCCTTCAAAAAACAATGGCTGCAGAGTTGGATGGGCTCAGGCCATTCGCTCAGCCAATACAGTAGAATTTACTGATCTTTTCTTCAACTGCTGTTGCCCTTGATGACTGGACTTTGCCTTATTTTTGACTTTTTAAATTTCTGTGTGGCAGTGTTAAAGCCAAAAAGATAAAGCTGTAACTGACCACAACTGGGAAGGGAAATTCTGGGGACAGGAATGGATTTAAGTAAGAGGGTGTCTGTATTAAATCTTCCTTGCTGCAGGGTCAAATAACTGGGGAGAAGAAAAACTGAGAGGGGCCTGGACTAGCAACAAAAAATGCCTGATGCGAGCAAGTCAATGTATAAAATGTTGCTGCCTAGTTAAATTTCTAACTGTATTAGCAGGGCCATGTAAAGTACATACTTTGCAGTAAGAATTAAAAGTTTGAATTGTGTAAGTTTTTTTCAGCTTAACTTGTTTAAGCCCCTTTGTATTTTATTCAGTAAATAGGTTTGGGATATATTTTTAATTACTTGAAGTTTCTTGTCTTTCAAACACTTTTGTTTTAACAGTTTTATTTTTAATTCTTTCTTTGGCTTACAGCTTATTCTGTTGTAATCATAGTGTCAATTTTACTTTTAGATAGCAGCAAAAATTGGGGGTGATTCAGCCACAACTGTGAATAACACTACACCTGATTTTGGATTTGGTGGTCAGAAGAGACAACTAGAAGATGGAGGTACTGTGTGCCTACTCTGAGTAGATCCAAGTCAAGAGCAATGTCTATTGAAGTTGGGTAGCTACAAATTTAAATAAATACAATCCTAACTTAATAACAGTAGTTGGGGATGAGAATTGCTGTCTTTAAGTGATGCAGTCATACAGCATGAAGTTGGGTGACTACATCCTTAGCAACAGAAATTCCAGCACTTCTGGTTGCCATTAAGCAAATATCATTGGGGTTCATTAAACAAGAGCATCACGTGATTGCCATTTGCAATCTCCTGCCAGCTCTCCCATTGACTCCGTTTATAGAAGCTATCAAAGAAAGTTGCAAATGGCAATTATGACTGTGGGGAAACTGCAGTTATTTTAAGTACAAAAACCAGTTGTAAGTACCACTTGTTCATTGTCATCATAAATTCAAAGGGTCACTGGACTAGTGTCATTAAACAAGGTTGCCTGATCCCTTTCTTTAAACAGTTATTCAGCCTGACATACCACGAGACACCATTAAAAGGATGTGGGGGTGTCCTTATTTGTGCAGCAGATTTCGGCAAAGATTCCATAAAAATGGATGGCGGTGGCTAGACAAATACAACTAGTCCTCAACTTAAGACCATTCATTTAATGATGGTTCAAAGATAAACGGTGGCCTCAGAAAACTTCATTTACAACTTGCTCTCATATTTGTGACCATCGTATCACCACACATCCACACATAATAGATATTCCAAAATGGAAAAGGTGCAGGGGAACTGATGCTTCTCTGTGCAAGGACATGTTCTCCCAACGACCAACAAGATCGCACAGATTGGGCCTCCTCCGGGTGCCATCAACCGGACAATCCCGGCTGGCGGCTCCCCGGGGGAGGGCCTTCTCTGTTGCTGCGCCGGCCCTGTGGAATGAACTCCCCGTGGAGATCCGTACCCTCACCACCCTCCAGACCTTCCGCA